TAATTGTCAAGACATGATGACAGGACAGGTGGTAGTGGCAAACAGCTTTAATCTCAGCACTCAGGAGGCAAAGACAGACACATCTCTGTGATTTCAAGACCAGCCTGGTTTACAGAGTGAGTTCCAGGTGAGCAAAAGCTACAGAGAAAATAACAAAATATAATAATAACAAAAAGTTATGTATAGTTCAGAAGGTCATGCAAGCCTTTTAACTCAGCACTCAGGAGGCTTGGGCTAGGGAATTGAGTTCAAGGTCAGTGACATCTACACAGTGAGATTAGGAAAGTGGAAAGACACAGAGACATTGTCTCAAAATAATGTAAATTGCTCCATGAGCAATAGCTTTCATGGTTTCAGAAGGACCATGCAAGCTTCCAAAGCAGTGAGCCAAACAAAAGTCCTATGATGCCTATGGACCACATCAACTGTCATCCTGGAACAATAGCCCTAAGAATGTCATAGTGGCAAGCATACCTAAGTGGTAACCTGAATTTCGATCCTAGTTAGCATTATTTAAAAAACCCATAGTCAGATATTGAGGGAGAAAACTGAAATATCAGAAGAGGAAAGTAGCCAGCCACCAGAGAATTCTTAACTCTATGAAATCTTAAACGAAATGGTGGAGGGAACCTGTCTCTATATAGTCTAAGACTGAATGGGCCAAATCCTTTCTCCACCTTCCTTATATTCCTGTGTCTACCTCCCTAGTGCTGGGATTAAAGGTGTGAACCACCACTACCCAGCTCTGTTTCTCTTTTAGACTGATTCAATCTCGTATAACCCAAGGTGGCCTTGAACTCCAGATCTTCCTGCTTCTTCCTCTCAAACCAAGATTAAAAGTGTATGCCACCACTGCCAGGCCTCTGTGGTTAACTGCTGGATAGCTCTACACTTTGATCTCCAGGCAAGATATATTTGTCTGAACACAAACAAAGTATCATACAACAACAACCCAGACCTCTCTCATTAAACTTAAGATGGCTTCACAAAAGAGAACAATGATAGGTAATGAATTCTGGCTACACTACTGGTGCAGGTGAAGACAAGAATCTTGGAGAACAACAAACAATTACCATTTTAGTAAACCATCATAATCCTTAACAAATAACTAAACATTTTTGTTTGTAACCACAGGCAATCTTAGCTTTCACCCCTCATCAGGGAAACTTCTCTTTTCAACAGATATCACTTCAAAAATCCACAATCAATTAAAATGCATAAATGTGGAGCCCAGGCCACTGGATGCATCTGTAAAACACTCCTGAAGAGGAGCTATAACGATTAAAAGAGGCTGAGGACCTGGAGGTTTGTTGTGAGATTGTGTCTACTAGTGTATTAGTCAGGGTTCTCTAGTGTAACTGAAGTTATGGAGTTAATATTTATTTATTTATTTATATAGAATGAGAATTTATTGTCTTGACTTACAAGCTGCTTTCCAGCTAATCCACCAAAAGCTGGTTATAACAGAAGTCCAAAAATTTAGCTGTTGCTTAGTCCACATGGCTGGTTGTCTTGGCTCTTTTTCAGTATATAATGAAACCCCAAAGAATTAGGCTCCAATGCCAGTGAAAGAATGCATGTGTTAGCACAAAAAAATGAACCAACAAATGGGCAGTGAGCAAAATGGTGCCTCTACCATTCATGTCTACCAGTAGAAGGTGTGGCCTTCCATCTCTATCCTATTCAAACATGTTGGTACTTCAACCTCAAGATGTGGATAAATGGCATTTGTCTTCCTGTCTGAATTTCCAGACTAAAAGTGGATTCATTCATATCTAAACAATCAAAAATAATGTCTCTCAGGTATGCCCTCCATTTCTGGATTCTGGTTCATTTCAGATGTAGTAAACTTGATAACCAAGAATTACCATCACACCTAGCAATATCAGAAGCTATGTTTATAAAATCTCACCAACATGACCTCCTAAATATGGGCTGGACAAAACCAAGAACAGTGGACATGCCAAAGTAGTTAGGGCAATAACCACAGGATGAATCTGGGGACCTACTGGACCTACTGTGAGTGAGACATCAGCCAAAACTCCATTAATCACCTGGCCTCCATAAGCCCCTAATTTAACTGGAGGGCCACCATGTTTCCTGATTCCCCTGGTGTAGCAGGAATTGTTAGAAGGTTTTATTAATAAAAACAATCCTAGAGCCTGGTACTGGGGTTAATGCTGAAAGATCAGAGAAGCAGAACAAATCACAGCCATCTCACCTTGCCAATTCCTCAGCTGATCCTGTTTCCTCAGACTGGAAGCCTTCCAGTCCTCATCCACAAGGATTTCAGTTGAACTGTTGCTAAAAGCCTAAAAGCTTAACCACCTATTTTCATGCCTTACATACCTTTCTGCTCTCTGCCATCACTTCCTGGGATTAAAGGCGTGGCTATTTCCAGTGTGGCTTTGAACTCAAAGAGACCCATGCCTCCACAAGGCTAGGATTAAAGGTGGGGTGCCACCATTTTCTGGCCTCTATGTCTGTCTAGTGGCTGTTCTGTTCTCTGACCCCAGATAAATTTATTTGGTTGCATGATATATTGGGGAACACAAAATCACCACACCCTGGAATAAGCTTTAATTCAGAACCAGCTGATATAGAAATGTAGAATATAGATATGATAGGATGAAAGAGTAGATTATTGAATCTGCTTTTAAAGAGCAACAACTTATTTAAAATATTTTACATTGTTATAGATTTTAGTTTATTTGACACAAATTTAAATTTAATATTGTTATACTTTATGTATATTTCTACTCTTGTGTAAGGTATGTTTGTGCAGCTCATTTGAAATTGTAATGGATAATTAAGAAATACAGATTCATAAATAGTCTTCTATGAAAGTCAAGCTTTAGTCATGTTAGTTAAGTTTTTAGGTATACATAGATATAATTCAATTAGGCATGCAAACTTCAAACACTTCAAAGACCTACAGAATATGCATGTTAAATGTGTTGCTCTGATTGGTTAATAAATAAAACACTGATTGGCCAGTAGCCAGGCAGGAAGTATAGGCAGGACAAAGAGAGAAGAGGATTCTGGGAAATGGAAGGCTGAGTCAGAAAGATGCTGCCACCTGCTGTGATTAGAAGCAACATGTTAAGACACCGGTAAGCTACAAGCTATGTGGCAACTTAAAGATTAATAGAAATGGGTTAATTTAAGATATAACAAGAAACCTGCCATGGCCATACAGTTTGTAAGTAATATAAGTCTCTGTGTGTTTACTTGGTTGGGTCTGAGCAGCTGGGGTACTGACGGTGAAAGAGATTTGTCCTGACCATGGGCCAGGCAGGAAAAATCAAGGTACATTCATCATGTTTGTTCATGTTTTTCTCTGACTTTCATATTCCTGAGTAATTACAGGGGCAGATGTTTCAAGAATATATCAGAGTCTCAATATGAGATCTCTGCCTTCTTTATGTGTATCACAATCCCCAGGACATAAGGAAGACCTTCAAGTTGATGATGATATCTCCCTAAAGGAAGAGGGGTGCTATGCTCAAGTCTTTCCTGGGGATTCTTAGAAGCAGTACTTCTGCAGGAAGTCATAAATGATTCATAAGAAAATTCCCATCAAAGTAATATCCCAAAGTTGCTCAAATATGAATTCCCCCCACCCCAAGCATGCCACACATGAAGATCAAGGCCTAATATGGCATGGTGGCCATCCTGTTGCTCAGCTCTACTGAATCTGGGTCAAGCAGCTATGTAGACTTTATGACTTTCAACATTTCCATCAGAAAGGGCTGCACCAACATTGACAGCTTCTCTCTTTACAGGTTATCACCTTCTTTCTATGTTAAGGTTTAGCTCTAGTATGAAGATTTTGAAGGTGAACAAATCATGAGACTTTATTGGAGCATTTTTGTGTGTTCTTTTGGGTTGGGTTTGCTGTAATGTCATCAGATTTAGCACTAGGTAAAGTATTTGTCAAATTGAATGCATTTGGTGACTGTCATTTTTAATGGACAACAATAAATAGGGATTATATATGGTATAATATGGGACGCATTTATGTCGTTTCTCAGAAGTATGAGTTTTGGGATATACAGCCATAGTCATATTTCTTATGTTCTATATTTTGTATTATTATTATTGTTATTGTTATTACTGAGACATGGTCTTTGTATTCCTGGCAGTCCTGGAATTGACTATGTTGACCAGGATGGCCTCTGACTCGCAGAAATATTCTTGCTACTGCTTCCTCAGTGTTGGCATTGAAATCTTGAATTATTTTCAATTTTTAGATGTAGGGCAAGATAAAGGTTTTTATTACAGCAATTCTTTGATGGTGGAGATATGGTTTAGTGGGTAAGAGCACTGTTTGCTCATCCAGAGGACCAGGTTTCAATATTCAACACACACAATAGCTCACAACTGTTTTTATCTACAGCTTCAGGGAATCTGATGCCCTCTACAGGCCTACACAGGCATCAGACAAACATGGAGTGCACAGAAAATTGTGTAGGCAAAAGTAACCATACACACAAAGAACAATTCACACAGTTACTGTTGTAGAAATTTATTTGAATATAAACTCTGATGTTTTATAACATTTAAAGCTTCAATAAGCCCTTTCATAAGTTTCTTATGTTTACATTTCTATTATGTATACTTTTGCATTTTAAGTAGAGAACAACATAGAAATACCATGTCACATAACTCAAAATGGTATTTTTCCATCCTGTATGAACTGTCTGATGCCTTCTAGTACTGAAACGTGGATATAGGATATGCCATAGTCTTTGCATTTGTAAAGTTTCTATTCAGTATGAATTTCCTGATGTGGTCTAAGTTATGAGCAACTGATGAAAGACTTGTCACATTCCTTACACCTGTAAAATCTCTCCAATGTGAACTCTCTGATGTCTTCTAAGATTTGACATGTAGGTAAACAATTTGTCACATTCCAGGCATTTTTAAGTTTCACTCCAGTATGAAGTTTCTGATGTTGTCTAAGAAATGAGCATCTAGTACAAGATTTGCCAAATATCCTACATTTGTAAAAGTTTCTCTCTTTTATGTAGTTTCTGATGTTCTCTAAGACTTGAACAAGTAGATAAACATTTGCCACATTCCTTACATCTGTAAGGCCTTTCTCCGGTATGAACCCTCTGGTGTCTTTTAAGATGTGAGTACTGGATAAAAGACATGTCACATTCCATACACTTGTAAGGTCTCTCCCCAGTGTGGACCCTGTGATGTCTTCTAAGATCTTCAGAACTGGTAAAGTATTTATCACAATTCTGACACCCGTAAGGTCTCTCTCCTGTATGTATTCTCTGATGTCTTTTAAAATTTGAATTCTGGATAAAGGACATGTCACATTCTCCACATTTGTAAGGTTTCTCTCCAGTGTGAATTTTCTGATGTTGTTTAAGATTTGAGAAGTTAGTAAAAGATTTGTCACATTCCCTACATTTGTAAGGTTTCTCTCCAGTATGTAGTTTCTGATGCCTTACAAGAATTGAACATGTAGATAAAGACATGCCACATTCCTTACATCTGTAAGATCTCTCTCTAGTATGAACCCTTTGGTGTGTTTTAAGTTGTGAATTTTGGTTAAAGGACTTGTCACATTCCATACATTTGTATGGTTTCTCCCCAGTGTGAATTCTCTGATGCCGTCTAAGATTTGAGCAACGGGAAAAGGATTTGTCACATTCCTTACATCTGTAAGGTCTCTCTCCTGTATGAACTCTCTGATGTCGTCTAAGATGTGAGTCCCAAGTAAAGGATTTGTCACATTCCATACATTTGTAAGATTTCTCTCCAGTATGAATTTTCTGATGTACACTGAGGCTTGAGGCATTACTGAAGCATTTCCCACACATCCCACACTGGTGTGGTTTCTCTCCAATGTAGATTGGTTGTTGCAAAAGACCGTATGTAGAGCTCAAATAATCACCATGTTCTTTCTGCCTGTGCTCTCTCTCTTCAGTGTAGAGTCTCTGATCTTGAGTAAGGTTGGAACTCAAATTTAAGAATTGCTCACAGTCTTTAGATTTGCAAGGTTCTTCTCCAGTGTGCATGCTTTCATGTCTATGTGGGTTTGAAGACTCAATCAAGGTATCCCTGTGATTACTGCACTTGTGGTTATTAGAGTTTTCAGCAGTTTCACTTGTTTTATAAGAAGCACATGTGGAGGGGTCATGAACCATTTTACCAAGCTCATTACACTGACAAGACTCCTTTTCAGTCTTCACATGTTGATGGACAGGATCATATTTGCAATAGTTCCCTGAAAATGAGTGCATCTCAGATTAGCAGGGCTGCTATTAAACTTTTGATAAATGATGGTCGACATCAGTTTTCTCTTACAATAAGTCAACGAGCAACCACTTAGACACTTTTCTTTCACTGTATTTCAATGTATTCTCACAAAAACAGCACAACAGCCTTCAAGGGTCTGTGATTAATAATAAATGACTTGTCTTTATCAAAAATGTCTAATGGCACAAGATGGATCAGGAAACCTTGGAATCAGTAATTAGCTTTGTGACAGCTCATGGCTGTGGGACTCTGGAACAAGGAAAATCTCAGTTATAACTAACAGTTGCAACAGGCAGGATGCATCCTGGGGCCAAAAACTACAGTAAGTTAATGATCAGCAATTCTTGCAAGTGGAATTGAATATCACAAAACCATTTTCACCTCTTGCTTTCTCTTTCATTTGAAGACTCCAAGGTTGTCCTGCTAATACTCTAACCCACCATAGTTGTGGATACTCTCTGTTCTCCACATTCCTGGGCAATCTCATTTGCTCTGGACAGGTGTCCAGGTCTACTTTTCATCAACCATATGTCCTTTGAGGTAGCCCATGAACCATGCAATATTTTCTAGATGGAATACAGAAGTCTAATAGTACTTTGCTTAGTACATGAAATAAAAACAAACTAGAGGAATCTAGGAAATATTTCCATTGGCTCTTTCCCATCAGAATCTTTATTTGTGGAGTACTTCTCAATTTGCACATTTTGAGCTTTTCTCACAATTAAAACTACATGAATTACCGTGATGTAATTGGAGCTTAAAATATGGGTAAAAATATCATATGATACTAAATTTCTGAATGCATTGTAGAACCAAATTAAGGGATCATGACACTTCTAACAAGCAAAATGGAAAGAAAAATATTAAATACCATAGAAAAGTTGTTCTCTACTATCAAACTTTACCTTGTCTTCTGTTCATTCTAAGAAAGCTTAAGAGAGAGTTTACAACCTATAAAGCCAGTATATAAAAAGGATTACTTAGAAGCAAAATGTCCTCACCCACAGAAACCAGGTTGCTGTAATTCTCCAACATCACATCAATGTACAAAGCCCTCTGAGCAGAGTCCAGGCATTCCCACTCCTCTTGGGAGAAGTCCACTGTCACATCCTGGAATGTCAATGGACCCTGAAACAAAAAAGTTGTTAGACCACATGCTACCAGACAGAGTGTTTTCCTGGGTATAAGTAGACTTGAGGAAAGGAGGGATGTAGACAATGAAGACAATTACACAATAAGATGGTTTCAATATAGTCATATCATATGATGGATTTTCTAACTCTGTAGAAACAGGATGACATAATAGGTTCACATACAATATACAAAAAAAGTACACATTTGAGGTCTGGACATGGATGTTTATCTATTATGGATGCTGAGTTTATGTCCAACAGGTCACAGTGTACATGTCTTAGAATGAAAATTCATGATGAGGAAATATGTTTTAGTTGCTGTACCTGTAGATCATAGTTACATCGTGCCACTCAACATTAAACAGCATATGTATGAACACCCGATTTTTGACAAAGAGGCCAAAACTGTACAAAGGAAAATAGAAAGCATCTTCATCAAATGGTGCTGGCATAACTGGATGTCAACATGTAGAAGATTGCAAATAAATTCATATCTGTCACTGTGCACCAAGCTTAAGTCCAAGTGGATCAAAGACCTCAACAGAAATCCAGTTACTCTGACCATGATAGAGAGAAAGTAGGAAGTACTCTTGAATGCATTGGCACTGTATATCACTTCCTCAATTTAACACCAGTAGCACAGACACTGAGAGCAACAGTTAATAAATGAGAACACTTGAAACTGAGAAGCTTTTTCAGGGCAAAGGACATGGTCATTAAGACAAAACAAGAGCCTACAGAATGGAAAAAGATCTTCACCAACCCCACATCTGACAGAGGGCTGATATCCAGAATATATAAAGAACTGAAGAAACTGCACATCAAAATACCTAACAGTCCAATTAAAAAATGGGCTGTAGAGCTAATCAGAAAATTCTCAACAGAAGCTCAAATGGCTGAAAGACATTTAAGAAATTCCTCAACATCCTTAGTCATCAGGGAAATGCAAATCAAATGCACTCAAGATACCATCTTACATGTGTCAGAATGGCTAAGATCAAAAACACTGAAGACAGATTATGTTGAAGAGGATGTGGAGCAAGGGGAACACTCCTATGCTGTTGTTGGGAATGCAAACTTGTACCGCCACTTTGGAATTCAGTATGGCGCTTTCTCAGAAAATTGGGAATCAATCTCGCTCAAGATGCAGCTATACCACTCTTGGGCATACACCCTAGGAATTTTCAATCATTCCAGTAGGACACATGCTCAACTATGTTTATAGCAGCTTTATTTGTAATAACCAGAATCTGGAAATAACCTAGATGCACTTCAACTGAAGAATGGATATAGAAAGTGTGGTGCAATAAACAATGTATATTCAGCAGAGAAAACAATGACATCATGAAGTTTGCAGGCAATTGGATGGAACTAGAAAAATTCATCCTGAGTGAGGTAACCCAGACTCAGATAGACAAACATGGTATGTACTCACTCATAAGTAGATACTAGATGTAAAGCAAAGGATAACCAGAGTGCAATTCAAACCTCAAGAGAGGCTAGCTAGTAAAGAGAACCCTAGGAAAGACACAGGGATCACCCAGCAAAGGTGTAATGGGTGAGATGTACATGAGCAAACTGTGGGTGAGGAGGGGTAATGGAGGGCAAACGATGGGGAAAAGACAGCTTAAGGGAGCAGGAGGTCCTAGCTGGATCAGGACTGGATTGGGTGAACAAGGAAAGGGATAACATGATAAATGAAGACCCCATGGGAATAGGAAGAAGAGAGTGCTAAAAAGGTCCCCAGAAATCCACAAAAATGACTCCACTATAAAATACTGGCAATGGTCAAGAGGGTGCCTGAGTTGACCTACTCTGGTGATCAGATGGCCAAACACCCTAACTGTCATGATAGAACTCTCATCCAGTGATTGATGAAAGCAGATGCAGAAGTCCATGGCCAAGCCCCAGGTGGAGCTCCTGGAGCCCAATCAGTGAGAGAGAGGAGGGATCATATGAGCAAGAGACATTGAGACTATGTTTGGAAAAAGTACAGAGACAACTAGCCAAACTAGTGGAAACACATGAACTGTGAACAAATAGCTGAGGAGCCCCCATAGAACTGCACTAGGCCTTCTGGATAAGTGAGATAGTTGTTTAGCTTAAACTGTTTAGGGGGTCCCCAGGCAGTGAGACCAGTACCTGTTCTTAGTGCATGAGCCGACTTTTTGAACCTAGTGCCTATGCTGAGACACTTTGCTCAGCCTTGGTGTAGGGAGGAGGGGACTGGACTTGCCTCAACTGAATGTATCAGGTTCTGCTGACTCCCCAGGGAAGAACTTGCACTGGAAGAAGTGGAAATGGAGGGTGGGATGGGGAGGGAAGGCTGTGGGGTGAAAGGAGTGAGGACAGGGGAATATGTGGTTGATATGTAAATCAAATAAAAAATCTCTTAATAAGGAGCAGTGTGAAGAAGCGGCGAGAACGACCCCCGGACGGACCAAACCTGCGCACCGCTGCATCCCCGCGTCCAGCGCCGACGTCCCCCGCCGCCGCCATGCCTAAAAGAAAGGCTGAAGGGGATACTAAAGGAGATAAAGCCAAGGTGAAGGACGAGCCACAGAGAAGATCTGCAAGGTTGTCTGCTAAACCTGCTCCTCCAAAGCTAGAGCCCAAGCCTAAAAAGGCCCCTGCAAAGAAGGGAGAGAAGGTCCCCAAGGGGAAGAAGGGGAAGGCCGATGCCGGGAAGGATGCGAATAATCCTGCAGAAAACGGAGACGCCAAAACAGACCAGGCACAAAAAGCTGAAGGTGCTGGAGATGCCAAGTGAAATGTGTACATTTTTGATAACTGTGTACTTCTGGTGACTGTACAGTTTGAAATACTATTTTTTATCAAGTTTTATAAAAATGCAGAATTTTGTTTTACTTTTTTTTTTTTTAAGCTATGTTGTTAGCACACAGAACACTTCATTGTTTTGAGGGGGGAAGGAACATGTGTCACTAACAAAATGTCTCCCAAGCTGGATTGGTGATGGTTGATGTTGGAAAACATCTTTCCCTGCTAATTTTGAAAGACTCCTCTTGGCTCTCAGGAGAGACGTCCTGGTGTTGACATATGGGCCACCATGGCACAAAATGCCTTGTGTGGGAAACTCTAAATTCATTTCTGTGTCCTCCTTCCCTGTACCATCAACATAGACTTAACTCCCTTCAAACCAGAGACCTGTTGGAACCTGACCCCCAAAATTGGTTTTGCCGGTCTATCAGGCAATCTGGACTTTGCAGTGGTATCATTGTGTCCTCAAAAGAGCAGCGGTTCCTTTTATAAAAGATTGTGGATCTTCAGATTGATAATTCTGCCGTGTTCGTTTGGTTTCCTGAAAGTCAGGGTCGGCTTGTGAAAAGTTGTTAAACAACATCCTCAATGTGAACTGTCAGCCCTCACTCTAAGCTCTCCCCCTTTTCAAAGCATCGAATGAAGACTCATCGGGTTTTATAGTGGCTTTCTGATTTTGGTAGTCTATACAAGAAGGGAGTTTGGAAGTTCTTGTATACTGTTAATGACTGTCTGCCCATGTCCTGCCTGAAAAACCATGATTGTTTATGGAAAGTATCTTTAATAAAGCTGGATACAGTTTGGCTTGGGAAAAAAAAATCTCTTAATAAAAAATAAAATAAAATAAATTTTAGGAAATAAAAAAAAGAAAAAGAAACTGTCAATCAATCAATTTTTATGCATTCCCTAGACTTACATTGCTATATTTTAACATGCTCAGTTTGTATGTTTATATTCTAGGTCCAATGCCATTCCATCAACGAGCAAAATGGTACATATGAAAAGTAGAATTTATGGTTGATTAGATAAGCAAAGAAGTTTCCTTTTTTCCACAGTAACAATAAGTGTAATAACATTGCATACTGTCAGTTTTAACATTGACATGCAAAAACAGGTAATATATGGGATTATTTTATAAGCATTTTGATCCACTACCAAACAGGTAGAAAAATCTGCATCAACCACAATTGACATAATCTAAAGTTTCCCTAATACATTATGAATATGCCAACTTAGGCAAATCAACAATTTCAGAAGTTTTGAAGAACACTTCATTTCTGAATAGTTACAAAAATTGAGGGAACTCTTGTTACAGGATATTTGTTTCCACTGCGTGGGAAATACCATCACTTTTCAGTGCTTTTCAAATCTAATAATGCTCAGAAGACCAGTTCAGGAGAAAATATAAGAATTGTTGTGCCCGAAATTTGTAGTTTTTAATGTGTTCCTTTTTAGTAGTTATCCTGTACTGTCTAACAGATTTTAGGTTAGCAGTGTTTATGATTCTTCTTTTATTACAAACTGTCAAACTGCATAGTGGTGACATATTCTGTCTGAGTCGTGAGTCAGGAATATGTGCAAACCTGGCAGTCAGAATAATTCCCCAAATCTCTGCTTTAAAACTTTGCAGGTTCAGGGTTGGGGAGTAGAGTCATGACTCTCACAGGAACTGACTGGGGGAAAGCAATCCTGAGGAATGTTCTTTCTGCATCAAATGTGATGGATTGTTCACATCAATCAGTCAGTGTCATCAAGACATTATTTCTGATGCATTCTATGTAATGCTACCTAATGAGTCCCAGACAGTAATGGCTGCACAGTGGGATCCTGTTTAGGCAATAAAAAAAAGAAATAAAAATGCTGCTCTCAAGCCAATCATGGTGGTACATGCCTTTAATCTCAGCACTTGGAGAAGAAGATATGTGGAACTCTGTCAGTTTGAGGCCAGTATGGACTACAGTGCCACTTCTAGAAGAGACAGGGCTATACAGAGACAACTTGTTTCAAAAAACAAAACATAACAAAAAACCAAAACACTAATCTCCCTAGCTTAGGATGTTCCAACTGAGCATTCTAACCAAGTGTGTGATGTGAGTAGTAATTCTCCTGAGACAAACAGATAGCAGTTTTCAACAAACATGTGGAGTCATCATCATTACCATGATATTAAACACTAAAGAAAAATAAGTAGACTAGTGTGGTAGTTTGAATGTAATTAGCCACCATTGGGAGTGGCACAATTAGGAGGTGTGGCTTTGTTGGAGTAGGTATGGCCTTGTTGGAGGAAGTGTGTCACTGTGGGGGTGAGATTGGAGATCTCATTTGTTTAAGCTTCACTCAGTATGACACTCAATTAACTTTCTGTTGCCTGGAGATGTAGGATGCTCAGCTACTACTCCATGTTGTCTGCCTCTCTGCTGCCATGATGATAGATGATAATGGAATGAACCCTGAAACTATAAGCTGCCTCCTCAATTAAATGCTTTCCTTTATAAGAGATGGTATGGTCTTAGTGTCTCATCACAGCAATTGCAGTTTAACAAGTCAACTACAATCTGAATGTACACTCAAGAACATTATATTCATGGTAGGATCAAGCCACTTATGGAAGCCATGTTGTGCACTGTGTAGTTTCCTTAAATTTTTAGTATTAGGAACCAAGTATTACTTAGCATTAAAAACCAAGCTTTGTCTCTTAAGTGTACATAGTGCTAAGATGTTGTGAAAACTCTCATATGCTTCAATATGAACTCTTTACAACTTTGATTCAAGGAAATGGAACAGTTCCCACAAATATAGCCTACAGGACACAGGATTCCTCACTCACCAATATATAAAGATATAGCCCTTATTCTACAGCAATTATACATCACATCAATGTATTTTTTGTTCATGTGTTAAAATGGAAATTTTTTCAATGTTACTAGTCATAATTTCATGTGAGATACTTATTCCTGGGGGAAAATAATCTGAGAAAGTAGAACGGACAAAAATCTTGTAAGTGTGGATTTATGAAATTACATTGTATACCTGTAGTCATAAATACAGCATGGTATAGTCATTTAAAAAAAGACAATGATAAGAGATTTTGATAGGAGTTCCAGAACAAAAAGAAAAATTAAAAAGCTAAGGTACTTAATATTTGACAAAGGGGGCAAAAAGATACAGGACAAAAATATTGTCTTTTTAACAAATGGTGTTGGTAAAACTGAACACAGCAGAAGAATGTAATTAGATTCTTATCTTTCATTTGTACAAAAGTCCATTCAAAGTGGATCAAATATCTTATATCAAATCAGAAAAACATAGACAACTAGAACATGTAGAGAAGATCCATCATTATATTGGGATAGGCAAGGCCTTATTGACTAGAAAGAACAGCAACAACACAGGAAGTGAAACAAATGGACTCCATGAATAGAAACTATTTGTGTTTGGAAACCATCAGCACAGCACACAGACACCCAAGTAATGGAAGAGAATCTGTACCAGTGACATTGTTGATAGGCGCTCATACCTAGAATTTACCAAGAATTACAGAGATTAAATACCAAGGAAATTATGCTGCCATTTATAGATGCACAAAGGAGCTAAAGACATTTTTTAAAGACAAATACACAAATGGCCAATAAATATTGCAAAAGAGTTCAGGATCCCTAAGAAAACGCCATCATGGAATCCCAAATTAAAAGTGCTTTGAAATATCACCTCACCCCAGGCTGAGAATGGCTTTCATCAACTCACCAGAAAACAAATGTTAGGCAAGGTGAGGAGAGAAAGGAAGCCTTATTCACTGTGGTTGGGGGTGTGTGAAAATTATACACTCAGTGTGGTAATGAGTTCCAAGATGATTAAAAAAATTGAAGATAGAACTAATGTATGACCCAGCAATGTCACTCCTGGAAACATAACTTGAAAACTCTACACCTCACTACAGAGATGTTTACACTCCACATTCCCTGCTGTTGCCTTCAACATGGCAAAGTATTAGAATTAACCTAATTATATGAAGACTGTACACATACATAATGGAATACCATTCAGCTGAAGAGAAAATTGCAGGAAAATGGTTAGACATAGAGTGTGTAATATTAAGTTCGGTCACACAGTGCCAGAAAGAAGAAATCACATTTTTCCTCTTATGCAGAAACTGGCCAATAATATGTGTCTATGAGAAACAAAATGCATAGGGGCTTAGCAGAACATGGAGAAAAGAGATCAAGAAAGCTTAAATAGGGGCTGGAGAGATGGCTCAGCAGTTAAGAGCACCAACTGCTCTTCCAGAGGTTCTGAGTTCAATTCCCAGTAACCACGTTGTGGCTCACAACCATCTGTAATGAGATCTGGTGCCCTCTTCTGGCCTGCAGGCATACATGCAGACAGAACACTGTATACATAATAAATAAATAAATCTTTAAAAAAAAAGAAAGCTTAAATAACAGGGTTGAGGTAGGACTGAATGCAGATAATGAATAGCAGTTGTGAAAAAGGATATAAACTACGTAATTTTCTAGCTTTGATTCTTCCAAAGTAATTTTTGTTTCTCAGATGGATAAGTTGATAAAAATATATTCCATAATAAAAATATAAAGATCCGTTTGAAAGACTCCAGAGCTTATGTTCCCAATAAGTACTCTAGCTAAATAAAATTGCAATATTTGTACAGTACTTGTACAGTAATTGAGTCCAGTTAATTACAGTGTGTGTGTGTTGTGTGTGTG